GCTCCGTTTGCAACAGCGAAGCGAAACTCCCGTCCAAGCTAGAGTTGAAAGCAGCGAACGGGAAGATCACGGCTTCCGCTTGAACCCAAGCAAGCTGCTCGTAGCGTTTGATGACAGGAAGGACGACCTAGACGCGTACCTCCACAGATTTGAGACGATTGCGAGGAGCCAGAATTGGCCGGAACAGCAATGGGCAACTGCTTTGAGTACCTGCTTGAGTGGTGAAGCGCTCAGTGTGTACGGTAGGCTGACGCCGACCGATGCAGCCAACTACGCAAAGGTGAAAGCGGCTTTGTTGAAGCGATTTAGATTCACTGTGGAAGGATTCCGGGACAGATTTCGGACAGGAAAGCCAGCTGATGGTGAGACGGCTACGCAGTATGCCGCCCGACTTTGTCATTATTTCGACAGATGGATTGAACTTTCAGGGACAGCGCAGGAGTACGATGAGCTTAGAGAGCTCCTAATTAGAGAACAATTTCTTACTAGTTGCCACCCAAGCCTGTCGCTGTATTTGAAAGAGAGGAAGGCTGAGTCACTTGAAAGAATGCTTGAACTGGCTGATCAATTCTTGGAAGCGCAAGGTGGCACTAATTTGGCCAAAGTCAAGAAGGATTGTCCCGATGATTCGAAGAAATTGGCTCCCGAAGAAAAGAAGCGTGCACCAGAGAGCATTCAGCGATGTTTTCTGTGCAACCGAGGGAGTCATCGCGCGAAAAACTGTCGAACGATCTTTACGAGCCCTACGGTTGTAAAATGTTTCAAGTGTGGTCAGACTGGGCACAAAGCAGACGCTTGTCGGAACGGAGTGAGTCTAACTCACCAGGTATCCTGTGTGCAAGTGGCACCGAAATCCGATAATAATGCCGTCACGGATGGATTCGTAGAATTGAAAAATGGGGAGATAATTCCTATTGTCGGTGCTGTAATGTCAAAACAGCCAACCGGTGTTACGAAAGGAATGCCAGCGCGGCCTGGAAAAGTTGCGGGCAAAAAGGTTACGGTGTTAAGAGATACCGGCAGCTCCACGGTTATCGTGCGGAGAAATTTGGTACGGGAAAGTGAGTTGACAGGCAGAACGAAACCGGTTTGCCTAATTGACCGTACGGTTCGGATGCTTCCCGAAGCCGAAATTGAGGTTGAAACCACGTACTTCAGCGGGAAGGTTACTGCTTTATGCATGACGACCCCCCTGTATGACCTTGTCATCGGAAACATCGACGGGGCGCGAGGGCCAAGTGATCCAGAATGTTTGGGAGAAGACCCGAAGATAGAGCCCTCGCCAACACAGCGGCCGCGAGATACAGTGGAGGAGCATCCCGTGACGGATCTCACTAGAGCCCAAGGTGAAGCCGCGGCGCAAGAGACAGCGAAGGAGAAGACGATCGTGTCCAATAAGTTCACGGGCCGAGCATCTGGACTTACGTCGGCACGACCTAAACCGACCGACAGTGTAAAGGAGACGGAGTCGGCCAGCCGGGAAAAATGTAGAGGCATGATCAAGCGGGTAAATAAACAGACAGGACCCGTCGAAGGTAATGACGCGTTAACGGTGTCGGAAGTGACAACGATGGCTGAGACGCCGCCTCAGATACCGTCGTTGGAAGGGGCCCGCCGAAAAGGAACGTGGAAACACAAGAAGAGATCGAGCGAGCACCGCAAAAAGGGGCGCAAGCGCTGCTCGAAGTACTCAGGATAAGTGGAGAAGTCAAATCAGAATGTGTTGGGCAGTGCTGAGTGACATATGTTGTGTTAACGTTCTTGTTATCCTGCGTCTCAAGTGTATGTCGAGTGAGTCAGTGTTCTGTGCGATGGTGTGATGTATAGTGATGTATAATTGTTGGATAGACAGAACTTCGTACGGTTGTATTGTTTAGAATGTGTGATGAAGTGTTGTAGGCATGTACCTGTGGCTATATTTCATGTGTTGTGGAATTGAACTACAATGTACGATTGTATTGAGTGATATATTGTGAATGTGAAGTGTCATGAGCGACGGATTGTGTTACAGTCTGTGAGAATGTGTGGTGACTGTTCGCGCTCGTCTGTGTGGTTTTTGAATATTATGAGATAATATTCTTAAAGTGGGGGGCAGTGTCACAGAACGAGCGCTAAACAAGAGCGCGCCGCCAAATACTTGCGACAACGGGCGGCAGAAACGCCGCGAGGTAAAAGAAAAAAAAAAGAAAGCAAACATCCAGGGCTCCCGGGCGCGCGCTCTCCCCGCAGAAGCACGGCTTCGCAGACGATCCTCCTCACCCCACATCGGCGGCCCAGCAAGACCGCGGTTTTTCTCGAACGAAGGAGGCGGGGTCAGACCGAGTGAATCATCCTCGGGAGAGGGCAGTCGAACCGTCTCGTGCCTCTCCCCAGCCTTCGCTGCGTATCGCGCCGACGAAATGACGAGAAACATCTGGAAAGTCGCGCGCAAGGTATTTAACCGAGCAGCCGAGACGAGAAATGAGGAGAAGACGGAAAGTTAGCGCCGGAGCGCGTAGGAATTCCGCCGTGTAGTCGGCGAAGGTTCTGCCCGTAGTGACAGAACAGGAGGAGACGGAAGTGAGCGCCAGAGTGCGTAGAGATTCCGCCGTGTAGTCGGCGAAGTTTTGGTCCGTAGGGACGGCTCGAGCTACAGGCAAGAGCGTGGGTTTACCGCTATCGAGCGAGGACGCGGGCAACAGCTGCGTGTGTGAAGCCGACGGATTTCCGGCGAAGAAGTTGAAGTTTGAAGAGTGGCCAATTGAAGACGGGAGGTTTCCTGGAAGAGAAACTTCGAGAACTACGGAACGGCAACAACGCTGGACTTTGAGTGAGTGATTCTCGGAAGAGTATCATTCAGACTTTTGTTCCAAGGACTTTGGACTGAATAGGTTTTCTATCTCTTTAGTCCTTAAGTGTCTTGGTTGTTCAATGCATGCGACTGCATTGTAGTGCGTATTGTTGCCTGTGTCCGTTGTTTCAAGTGTGGCTGATTGTATTGTGTAATACGTTGATTGATTGGTTTGGTTGGTGACATATTGAATGCAACTATTGTGGAGTGTGCATTTTTGTGTATTGTTTTCGATCTGTCATTATTGAGAATATAATTTGTTTGTTTATCAACTCTCGGCTCTGTCTTGTTCTTTGGGCCACAGCCGGCGTCCGCTGGCGCACCAATAAGGACCACTTCTAAATTGTCCACGCTTTCGTGGTGCGGTTCGGGGGGCCGATACTTCGGCTCTTGGAATTAGCCCGGCGATTGCCTCCCTAATAAACGGGACAGGTGTGACACCTCTCGAGCGTGTGACGGCAACTAAGGGCTCCCTTACTGCGCTCATCGAGGAGCAGAAACGCACAAGGTCTTGTGTAACTTTGTCTGACGCAGCTGCAGTTAGAATAGCCATTTAAATATCTGGTTACTTTAATTTTGTCTAATGTCTTTAGTATATAGCATTATTTGTTGAAAAATAATAGCCCCAGCTTTGCATATGAATCCTAATAGTAACATTTTTGCATAAAAGTGATGGAAATCTCAGCGATTGATTGATATGTGGGGTTTAACGTCTCAAAACCACCATTTGATTATGAGAGACGCCGTAGTAGAGGGCTCCGGAAATTTCGACCACCTGGGGTTCTTTAACGTGCACCCAAATCTCAGTACACGGGCCTACAACATTTCCGCCTCCATCGGAAATGCAGCCGCCACAGCCGGGATACGAAGGAAATCTCAGCGAGGTAAGCTTTGCTATGATATTATGTTTATAGGCACACATATGTTTTTGAAGTTGTGAGGACCGAGGACGCCTTCCCTTCGTGATTTGTCCTTCAGCTAGCTCGTTCTGTCGGGCACGCGCGCCTCAATCTCCGTAAACCACCGTTATATATGGCAGCCATAACCACAGCGACAGGCTTTCTTTACCGGTGCCAGTCATTCTTCTCTTTTCCAGGTGTTGAAGTGTCCTGGCGTTACACGTCGCGCTAGCATACGCCACGGTGTCACGTGCTTCCTCACTGGCCGCCAATGAGATCTCTTTTATTCCCTTCACCTTGCTTCTCGCTGGTGCTTAGTCACCGTGGAAGAGGCGCTCACACGCCCACCACTGGAAGATCAGTCGCTGTCCTAACAGGCTACTTTTCGTTCGTACGCTCGATGGCTTCCTTGATGACGTAGCCTATCGCGGTACGGGCAAGCGTACTCCATAGTTCCAGCGGGATTTACCTTTCCGGCCCACATTCCCGTTTGTGTCACACTCGGCTGCATCTTGGGGTCAAGAACCCGAATTTCGGACATCCTTTTTCAAATGCCTTTCATGCACAGAGTCGGAGAGTCGCGGAACCGGGCTGTAGCGTCCTTGTATTATGCGCCGGTGGAGAGGCCGTCGGGTCCTTCCCCGGTTTCCCTCAGGGGATAAACCTCATGAAAATTCACCTTCACGAAATTGAAGCCTCCGTTGAGGAATGACACTAGAGATTCTAGAGAATGACACTAGAAGGAGTGTCTAGAGAATGACACTAGAGAATGACACTAGAGTAGTCATGACTGCATACGCAGTCATGACTACACCTATCAACTCTGGGCCAACTTAGAGGGCTCGTGTCGTCGCTGAGAGTCATCGTCTCCCGTTTCCTACATGAGTGAAGCCGAAGAAATGACTGGAAATTCTCCTGGCCTGCTTTATTCCTGTTCCTTGAGACTCGAATTAAGTTCCTTGTATGATCCATCAAACACAACTGTTTCTTGCTTATATTGTAGTTTTGAAAATTTCAACACAACAATAGCATGACGGAGAATGTGAAGCAGATTCACTGAGAAAATGTGATAAAAAAAGAACTGCAAGGCCTCTTCAACAACAGTTAATAAAAAAAAACCGTGAATAAAATAAGCAGATGAAACAAAAACAACGAAAATGGCTATAAAGCCGTACAGGTATTAATAGCTTTGCTTCGCTTTTGTCAGCCTTTCTTCGACGCATCCGCACACCAATTGTAAAATAGATATTCAAGTGTTATAAATGCGCGATACATGCAAGGCTTACGTAAAGCGATTGTGTGTAAGAAGAAAACACCTCGAATAAGTATTATCTGAAACTCAGAGTGCACGAACCAGACACATGCAGGAAAAGCAAATTTTTGCAACTCTTCTTTTTGCCGCCTGTGTAGCAAGACTGGAGTGTAAATGGCCACTGCTGGGAAGAGATTGGGACATAAGAGAGGTAATCTGGAACTACTCAGCTTACTTTGCTGTACAGCAGCTGGGATTCCTGAACGCGAAAAAAATGTTCAAGTGCCTAAGCGTATCCATGCACTCAACAAAAAAACGTTGTACGTCTGTCCACCCCTCAAGTAAGATGAACTTTATTTGATTATTTGCTTGGAAGTACTGCCAATCTAATACGAGATCGAGGCAGGAAAGTGGGGTTGCAGCAGAATACATAGAAATAGGAACAAATTACGATAGGATGTATAACAATGCGCAAAGTTGCATTAAATGGTGCCCCGCCGCGGTGGTCTAGTGGCTAAGGTACTCGGCTGCTGACCCGCACGTCGCGGGTTCGAATCCAGGCTGCGGCGGCTGCATTTTCGATGGAGGCGGAAATGTTCTAGGCCCGTGTACTCAGATTTGGGTGCCTGTTAAAGAACCCCAGGTGGTCGAAATTTCCGGAGCCCTCCACTACGGCGTCTCTCATAATCATATGGTGGTTTTGGGACGTTAAACCCCACATATCAATCATACATTAAATGGAAACATAGGTTAAATAGAGGTTATAGATTATAAAAACTATCGCAACAGAAATAGAAGAGTATAACGGAAAAAAGGCCGTTCATAAGTAGCTATGTTCACAAATGAATCAGGTAATACCATAACTTAACCATGATGTGTTAGTATACAGCTTTCTTGATTCTCGTAGTGAACATGTCTATAGGGAGTGAGTGTTAGCAGTTGGTGGGTGAAGTTCATTCCCGTCTGTTTTTGCTCTCGGGAAGTAAGTGTATTTGTGCATAATGAATTATCGTCATAGTGTTCATCACCTGTACGTCTTGCTGATGTTATCGAAATATATGCAGCAGTGTCAATGTTTGGTTGGTTGTGTAGTAGCTGGTGCACGAACTTTAATCTAGTTAGTTTGCTTCTATTTTGTCAGGCTAAGAAAACCAGCCCTTATTAGTTATTCAGTCGGTAGTCTGATACTTTATATTTGTTAAATAGAAAGCTAATGGCCTTTCTAGTTTACAAATGTTATGTTTGTTGTACGGGAACTATGCAATGTTAGCATATCGTTCAGTGTACGAAAACCGCGTGATGTTATCACGTTGTTTAATGTACGGGAACCATGCAATGTCAGCTTATTATTAGAATATTGTTTAGTGCAGGGAACCATGGATTGTTAGCATATTGTTATCATATCGTTAACTGTACGAGAAATTGCTAGCATATAGTAAATGGCTAACGTTGCATAGTTCCCGTACACCAAACATAACATCTACAAACGAGAATATCGATAAAGATTGTGTAAAATTAAAGGCATCTTTGCAATAGTGGTACCAAAGCTGAGGGAAGCTCGGAGCTGAGCAGCTTTCTTTGTCTTGTGTTTTCTCTTCCTTTCTTGTTGCTTTTTACAGTTTCTTCTGTGCTTTCCTTTTATTGAAAAATATTTCCCTTTCTACTTATTCATAACGTTTTCTGTCTCTTTCTCGCCTCCTTCCTACTTTTTCAAATTTCGTACGTCGTCTTGCCCGCTTCACGCCCGACAGCATACAATAGCTTGAACCCCAAAAGTTTTCATCGCTCAACATTAACATCAAGACTGTGGGAGAACAAGAAGAATAAAATAATGATTATCTTTGGAGCAAGCGCGCGCTCAAAAAGCTATGCTATAATTATGTGGTTCTTCCTGCTTTAATATCAGCATAATGGAGATCAAGCAACTGAAGGAAGAAGACTTGGGTTTAATGCGAGCGCACGCTGAATATTTCACAATGGTATTTAACCAGAAATGTCTTTGTCTTCTGTCATTTATAATTTAGCACTCTAAAACCACGCTTCTGGCCTCGCCTTACAATTAACTGCTTTGCAGTAGGCTTTTATTAGGTTGTCCCTAATATGAGCCCATTTTTTTGTAGTAAAACGAGCAATCACTGACCTATCGCTGAACTGGGTGGTCCCGAACAAAAAAGAATGTCTTTTGGATGCGTTAGCGCCATTCAGAAGCTTCTCGTATGTGCCCACGCTTACGTAATTGTAAGTCTCGTACTTAGAAATACTGTGGGGTATATGCGTAAAAAACATGTAAAGATGAGAGAGATATAATAAAAGGGTGATAGACATAACCAGTCTCATTTTTATGCTTGTTACAGCTATGTTTTTGGTTCTTTTCTTTTTTTTTCAACGTGTGCTAACCTTATTCTTTGCGGTATGCGCTAATAAGTATACTTACTTATTTTTCAGTTTCTGAAAACAGAAGAACCAATATGGACTTATGCTACAAGTGAAGCGACGCAAATCATATGTAAAAGGGACACCAAGCTGCTCATCACTTTTCAATACATCGTGTTCTTTCGATCGTATTATCACCAGAAGCGAAAGTAGGAAAATCACGAGTTATGAAATAATGAACCTGATGAATGCATCATCTTTTTCGCAGGCTGATCTTCAGGCTTCAAGGCGAATTTGATCTTCATCGAAAAGCACGCATGATCATAAAATCCAGAGGTAAGGCAACAATGCAACACCTGTCGCAAATGATGACACGCATAGCAAAACATCAAACTCCGAATGACTCCATTAATTGTTGACATGTGGGGTGTTCTATAGCGTGGGTGTTCTTCTTAAAACGAGCATGAAAATCTGTGGTGACAGTGCTATTTAATAATGCAGACAGACTTAAAAAGGCTCTAAACCGCTTCATATAACTTTTAACGTTTCAAGTAGGCGCATGCTTCAAGTTCTGAATGCGGTCACAATAACCAACGCCAAACGCGGCAGTGCTACGAGCCGCGGGTGCCCCACTAATTCAAAGAAACGATCCAGTCTCTTTGGTCCTTTCGCCAATCCAAGCGTTCACCGGGCCGTCATCATCCTCGAATGCCCATGTCATTTGCAAAAAGAACCTGCTTGCATGTTAAGGAGGAGAATGTAGCCGATGAAAGGAGCATATTGAAGGAAAGAACGAAACCAGCGATGGCCTATTTTAGGTCATGAAACCACGTAACTCCGCTAATACGACACTATTTTAAAAAATTCTCCCAGATACTTGTTCCCTCTACACTCGGGCACAACCACAAGAGGCCAAAGCTTCTAAGGCAGACGATGGGCCCAGCTCAGCGCCCTTTTTGGACATGCGCTTACGCCCACCCTATTGGAAACTTTGTTCCGTCGCATGGCGCTGACACAGAAACCCACTTGCGATAGCTAAAGGTTTGTGTGCCTGTACATTTACGTGTCGATATAGCACGTATAATACTTATCCACATCAGTAAATACGATATGCCTGCCATGAAAGTTATGATAGATCGTATTATCCTTTCTCCTGATCACGTGTCGGCCGCACTCGTCTTACCATGCTTAACGGTAAAAAAAATAATAAACTAGTGTTGACGGGCGCACTGTCGTCTCCACTCACGTCCCATGCTAGATAAACTTGTCAACTTGACTGAAGGGGATAACTTGTTCAGTGATTTTTATCGCTTTAATGAAGTAGTTCTTCTAGGGCTTCTTACAGGGCAGCACGACTTTATCGCTCAAAAGCTTAAAATGTATACGTTTGTGAAGTATTCAAGGGATCAAACTGCTGGCGCTTTATGCGGAGCAAATAAATAATTCACTTCAGATTGTTCTTCCACCGATCCATCGAGGAGGCCGGGAGTTTTCACATACGGACAGAGAAGCGAAAAAATCAAGGAGGTGCACCATGAACTGCATCCCTCTAAAGACGAAGTGATGCTTATGCTGGTTTTATTTCCTAAATATATGTGCGTATCAGTAGCAGTTGTCTTCTTCTAAAACACTTCTTTGAAAAGTGTCTTGTGCGCAAGAAAAACTAAGCGTTTGATCTCTCCTTTTTCTCTTACACCAGCAACGTTTAGGCGATGTCGAAAGGCATCGAAAAAGAAAAAAAAAACTAATAAAAGTTACGCTGCTTTATATTGCGCTATTACTCGTTATGAGGAATATACAAATAAACATAGCCACAAGCCAAGTTTATTATATGGTCTTCACACTAAAAAAAAAAAAAAGAACTGGCCCTAGGCTTCGAGAACCATTCGGTGTATTCTTAAAGGGAGCGACTGTCCGGCCTCCTCTAAAGTAGCGACTTTTATTAGTGGGTGCCGCCCTTTCTACTTGCATTGTTCCCGTCACGCTTGTTGCGGCGCTGTTTTCTCCATCGGTTCCGGATATTGTGTACCTACAAACTTGGCATGGTCCATACATATAGGCCAGTAGGGAAATCGCTAGATAATAATTTCATCCTAACTTACAGGACCTCTAACAACTCAGAGGTGTATAAATTTAGTTCTTGCGCAAGATTATACAAGAAACACGTAGGCATGGGAATTTTTTCAAACGCTGCCGTATTAGAGGAGTTACACCATTTCATAATACAAAAGAGGGCCTCAGTCATTTCGCTGTCTCATTTGCTAGGCGCCGTTCGTCAGCTCTTCTCCCCTCTTGGCCGAACGCTCCTCCTCACCGCACGAGGAGGAAGGTCGGCGAGCTCCCATAGCAGCGAGCAGACAAACAGGTATTAGGGATGATGAACGGAAGACATGTTGACGTCATGGCGAGCGCGGAGCAGCTGAGGATTATCGAAAGGTCCAGAGAGGAGAATAGATCGTTTCTTAAAACTTATGGCGCACCCATGGCTCGTAGCGCGGAAGGGTTAGGCATAGTTGATGGCGACGGCGCTCTGAACACAAAGCGCTTATTTACTTGAATTGTTAAAATCATATTTAAGGTGCTTTAGGAAAGCCTTGAGCTGTTGAGCAGTGGCCTATGGTGCGGGTAAATAACTTCAGGTGATATTAGCCTATCGATCTTTAGTAAAACGCCGCTACTTGCCACGTGTTTACAAAATTACCACCCTTGCATCCTGGTACGATTTATTTTCAGATCGTGTGTTCAACCAGACAGAAGAAGTTATCTACATGTCTAAAAACCTTACCTGTGCATTCATGCGGGTTACACCCCATTTCGGAAGTGAGTTGTGAAGCTTGCATTTGTTTTAATTTTTGGGAGTGCTAGCAGCCCCTGTAAAGTCATTTGCACATTATGGCGCACACGCGTTCCGCTTATCGGCCACATATCTAGCAGCCACCGAGTGAGAATCGCGGTTGTGCTCCCGCGTATTAGCGTTAACGCGTAGCGCAATGGCGGCGGCAGCGCCGCCCGGCAGTAGTAGTTGGTCCGGTGCACAGAAAACAGTGGAGCAGCGTACCTGTACGGATGTCTCCTGCGGTGTGTCCATGGGGGACGACACCATGATTTGTTTCCCGTGGACTTTTCGTAGTTCAGTCGAACGCCGTCGAAGCCGCATTTTCGAACGGAATACAAACAAACACGAACGAAATACAAAGAAAGAATTCAGAAGAAACTGTTTCGCAAATTTAGAGACCCGGGAGTCGAGCACAGAACCTCTCGGTTTGAAACGGTATAAACCAGTCGTTTATACGTATTTTCCATCGGCACACTTCCGTATCGCCCTCCAGGTACACCTAATGTATCTTACACTATTCTCTGTTCCTGCACTATTCATTTGTGGAGGTGGTGTCCCCGCCTAAGAAGGAGGAGATAAGTACTGCATAATTACACTAGCACCGACACATTACGCTGTGGAAGCCCAAACACTACGACGTCTCGATGCCAGCATTCAAGCTGTAGCTTGTATCAAAGCACCCTACCAACGGCATCTATAGTAGCCATTTGTCTGACTTAGCACAGCAGAGCGTGACCTTCACCATTAATTCCAAGATAGTGTCTGGAGCTAATCTTGGAGGCCACGAGCGAGAGCTGTCAATGAGACGCGATCTACGCACTGACACGGCCGTTGCAGTGATGTGACTCGGTGATGACGCTGCTGCGTGCTTCATCTTTCGTGTGGTGCTAGCGTGCGCAGCATGGTGCAGCTTGGATATGCAACAATGGCTTATTTCCGCCGTCTACTGATACGAGTACGATGGCACCGACTACGATAACTGCTGCGTTAAGTGCCGCCAAAAGACAGTAGCGTCGACGGGTTTATGTAGCATCAATGAGTTTGGCGTAGTGATAGACAAGTCAGGGGGGGGGGGGGGGCGGGAAGTGTTCGCACGTTTACGGCGCAAGCTGACAACTGTGCCTCTCGCATTTGTGTGGTTGAGCGCATCGCAGCCCAACTAGCTGCCGTACCGACACCGAGCAGGTCCGAAATCATCATACCATCGCCGAAATGACCCACCACCAGATCGCTGCTCGACAAGGTGGTGACGTATGCCAAGCAACATCCACAGGATGGTCGCCGAAGCGCAAATCATGCACCATTCACTGCAGTGAACCACGGCTTCACAAAGCAATTGATTGAAAATCCTCTTTAGTTTCGCTTGGACGGTTCGCGAACGCCTGCGGTTTATGGGGATTAGCGCGACGCTCCGGTGCGCGCAGTGCAACGTCTAACCACAAATACACCTTATATCAATGAAAAAGAAACATTAAGCTATTTATGTAATGACCCGTGTCACTGTTACGCGTTACGCCGATTCCTAAATGAAAGGTATCAACCGCATGATTCGTTCTTCCTCTCTTTTTCTCTTTTCCTCTTTGAGGGGCGAAGCTTTTTAAGGTCGAGGGTTGTCTGCTGGTGTTGGCGTTGTTCGCCGTAGCGCCGCTGATGATGATGCTGATGTTGACGAAGAACAGGCGTGCTCCAGACCATACGTTCTTCTCTGCCATCGTGGCACAGCACATGTAAGGTACCCACTATACGTCATGACGAGGACTATGACACCAATGACAATGAAGATGGTGAAGAAGATGATCGCGGACAACGAATGGCGTGTGCAAAAAATGACGTCTCGATATGTTTACTATGCAATTCGCATGATTAGAAACAACCAACAACCACCAGGAGAACGTGTCCAGGCCCCGTCTTTGCCAACTACAGGCTAAATCCAGTACCACAAAGGAGTAATAACGCACGCAAAACGAAATTCACAACTCAACCCAATATACATGTTATAGCGGATAAATATTGTATATCATAACCGCAGACCACTTGGCCCTCATTCATATGCGTGAGTGGTCAATGTCACAGGTGATCAAGGGGATTCAAGATGTTACTGCTGCGCCCCGTGATCCATCGTTAACTTCGTAAAAATGCCGTAATATATGCGAAGCATTTCTTAGCGAACTTCGGTGACTTTGAGCGTATCTATCTATCTATCTATCTATCTATCTATCTATCTATCTATCTATCTATCTTCTATCTATCTATCTATCTATCTATCTATCTATCTATCTATCTATCTATCTATCTATCTATCTATCTATCTATCTATCTATCTATCTATCTATCTATCTATCTATCTATCTATCTATCTATCTATCTATCTATCTATCTATCTATCTATCTATCTATCTATCTATCTATCTATCTATCTATCTATCTATCTATCTATCTATCTATCTATCTATCTATCTATCTATCTATCTATCTATCTATCTATCTATCTATCTATCTATCTATCTATCTATCTATCTATCTATCTATCTATCTATCTATCTATCTATCTATCTATCTATCTATCTATCTATCTATCTATCTATCTATCTATCTATCTATCTATCTATCTATCTATCTAGCCGCTTGCGTTTGGGTGCTCTCGTGATCACCCCTTTAACTTGGCAAGAACCAAAATTAGCATGGGAGGGTAAGATGGTTTGACGAATATGACGCGCTGCTCAAGACCTCAATATTGTCACAATCCCGTCATATACGTCGTCAAATACGTCTCGCCAAAGCAGTAGCACATACCCACGGGCGGGGATGTGCCACTGGTACGTGGGTATGCGTCACCGGCGATTGACACTTAGTATCTACCAGGAACGGCGAGAACACACATGAGCAATTTTAGCGTGCGAGCGTTAAGAAATACTTGAAATTGGTAGCGTCGACACCAGGGGTGCAATTAATAAATGCCAGGGTCCCAGCTGGAATCCCAACCAAGCATTCTGCGTGGCAATGAAGCATTTTACCACAAAGCTATGCCAGGTCTTGAAACTGCTTTTAAAATAGACGTTAATCTTCTTGAAACGTCAATAATGGTTGCGCTGCTGCCTACCGAAATTTATAAACATTACATATGTCCTCCTTTGATACAGCCGTCACGTCGCGTTAACGTCGATCGTGGTTAGTTGCCATGCACTGAAGTTGATTTATGTAGCAGTGTCCAGGGCCAGCATACTCGCGAGCATTTGAGCGTTCCATATCAGCCTCTGGTGTTGCTAATACACATGTTTCATTTGGCATCGTTGCGCAAGTGCAAACAACTGGTTATATAAATATCTGCAACATTTCAACATATGTCTGTACGTGCAACGTTTGTACATATATTTAGCGTCTATTCATGACGTGTGACACAATGAAAAGAATTGCAACACGGTCACCTTCCCTCCGCATGCTTCGCAAAACGTCGATTCCCAGGTACGCGGGATCTCCTGATTTTTTTTCTCCTTCTTTCTCTTTTTATTTCGCTCTTTATTTGTTCCTTTTTTTGTTTATTTGTGGCTCGCCTTCTTTTTTATTATTTGTATCTGGTTTTGCGTGTGCTATGCAAAGTGACAACAGCATACGACAGCTCGAGCCCTTAAAGCACCCCACACGTACCATGAATGTGCTCGAAAAAAGAAAAAGAAAGAGAAAGGAGACATTTCTTCGGAGTGAACACGCACTCGGTATGCTACAGCTGGCTGTGCTATACGCAGTTTTGCTTTCGTTATTATCAACATGAAAGTACTTGAAGAACACCAGAAAGAACACCCTGCTTAGGCACTTGTTAAGCTACCCGATTCTTGGCCCATCCTTTCTGGTGGGTGTGAGCCACAAGTTTAGGATCTACATCTACATCTGAGGCGCAAGCACGGACTGTTAGGCTTAGGCATAAATTTACTTTGTTTGTAACCATACTAGGTCAGTAAATTTTATTTTTATTTTCTTTATATATCCTACTATCAATCCATGTTTTACCAACGTGTTCATTTTCAAAGCATTCATATCTAAGCCTAATAGGATGTTAACATATTGCTACGTCCAAAAGAGGGTACCATCCGTTTTATGGCCGGTTACCCGTGGTGGGTTGCGCCAGGACTTTAATTAGGAACCAATAAATCAACAGGCTCAATATGATACAGCTGGTTGTGTTATATGTGGTATTGCCTGCGTCACTCGAAGCGGCGAGAGCATAACGCAGTACGACATCATGCAACGGGCAGGACTTCTTAAGGGCTCAGAACCTAAAATTCCAGTACAGTATATCGCTGTCATACAGCTCACTCATAAAACAAAGAGTGGCGTAAATATATTCTGTGTTTTTAACAGCAGCTGTTGAATTCAGTGCCCATGGGCTTAACGCAGCTAGGGTGCCTAGAAGTTGAAGTGCTTCGGCTCATAACGGAAATGGTGCGGTCTCACAGGATTGATGGAGATTTCCAAGAAATTTATTCTCTCTAATTCTCTGTGAACATGTACGTGTACCAAAGGGAACATTTCGTGAACATGTTTAATGTATACTCATCATATAGTTTTTTGCTTTTCTGGCCACCGTGGCACTGCAAGTACAAGGCGCAATGGCAAAGTGCAAAGCCTCACGGGAAAATATTATCTCCTGTTTAATCTAAAGTGAGCGCATGCAAACTGCTATGAGGAATTTATTTGAAAACTGTCTATCAGGTTGACCTCAAATTTTTTTTATATTGTGCCAAGCACACCATTTATGTTTATGTAATTTTTTAACAAATTTTTGAAGATGATATGCCACTAGATGTTGTGCCCCTCCAGGTAGCAGTTGCCAGCTTGATCTCTCCCTCTTTTCTCTGTGTTCTTGTGTATCTGTACATGCAAATGAAATAAATCAATAAGGCTACGTGATATCCATAAATACTCACACTTAAAGCCCACATGCTAGTTTTAGTAATTCCGTCAAACGACAAGTAGAAACATGCCACGGAGCATGCGTGTAACTCATTCGTTGTTTTATATGAATTGAAGCCATATTTTACTTTTTTTTAGGTTACATGAAGAAGTACAATCTGCGAATCAGGAATTCCACCATAAGAGAGCCCATCGAAGCGAAATGCTTGGACACTTTCAAGTCGCGAACGGGTAAAAAAATGTACGTGCTGTATAAAAACAAGTGTCAATACTTGCCTTAGGAGATAAAATAAGCCCGAAACCCGTAGATATATGACATGTGTACATTTAAAATGCGTTCTTGTTTGAACAATTGACGCAAAACGTAAACACGTGCACAGCACATATACTTATTAACATGCATGCATGCTAACGGAAGCATAATCAGAGCGAGGAGTAGAAAAACATGAAAGCAAGCTGTCTTGCTTACAGCAAGAAATATGATAAGATGACGGCGTCATCGGAAAAAAAGGCGTAGGTTGCACTAAAGAAGCGTTCATTTTCTTCTTCTATAAAGTTACAATGTTTAGTGTATTTGTACGGCTTGTAAACAAACTCCACGTGTTCCGATTAAAATGGACGTATTTAAGATGAACTAATAATAAAAGTTTTTCTGTAGCACTGTAGGCCCTATGTGTCCTTCTAAACTCACTGAGCCCTATCACATCCCATTTACCACACTTGCCTCACCACATAAGATTCTTGCGTTAAACGTTGCCAAGTTCAGAGCCAGATGGCGGACTGTCCCGGCCCAGATATTCTTAGCACCCTCTGCTGCGTCACAGATGTGACCGTCGCCATGGTCATTTCGCAGCTGTGGGGACAGAGGGCTGGAAGTTAATCGGCGTGTATCGAAGTGGGAGGCAGTGGCCAGATACTGCACCCGGATGGCCAACTCTTTTCTGGTTAGGGAGATCGTTACCGGTGGTGGTTACGGATGAGGCCGCATGCCAGGCCTCTTTAAATGCAATTTCATCATCACGCGAATAACTTTTTTCAATCTGGCGGGGAATCGCACGGCACCAAGATTCGAATCACGGTACTCTTGCGCGCGAAGTTGATATTCTAACCAGTACACATTTGATGACTTGGGATGGTCTTTTCTATCCACACAAATATGGCTGCTAACGTAGAGGAATACTACAGCGGTAATGAAAAGGTAGCAGGTATCGTAATTAAACTTAATAAGTGATATACGACGAAGGCGGTACAGGCCTACGCCCCTGCATCCAGCCACGAGGGCGTATTAGTTGAAAGCTTCTATGAAGACGAGGAATCGGTAATTAATAAGGTAAAAATGCAGTACACTATATTGATGGGTGACTTCAATGCCAAGGTAGGGAAGAAACAGCCTAGAGACCAGGCAGTGGTGGATTATGGCATTGGTTAGAAATCCAGAGGGCAGTTATTAGAACTCACAGATCACAATAACTTTATGAATCTTGAATATATCTACCTTAACGAGTGAACCATAAGTAGACATAAAGGAGACCTAATGGTGAAATTAAAAATGAAAGCAGTGATTATGGCGACGTGGTCCGTCGACTCCGTTTTATCGTTAGAGTGAGGGGGCCCGTCAGCGCAGTGAAATCGTGAGCACAGTTACGGGGCCCGTCATAATAGCGATGCAGCTATAGCGACGGCCCCGTCATCATAATTTAATGACAATAGTGAGGGGGCCGTTATCGTAACGTAATGGTAAAAATGAGGCGGCCCGTTGCTATAAATGTGTAGTGTTTTAGACGCCACCGTCTACCTATTCTGGTGCCGTAGTCACTTGACGCACGGTTGGGGAAGCAGTCGTGACGCTGGTCGTCAGTTAGAATTCCCATTTTCGCATGTTTCACTTTTTCTCCTTTTTTGAGCTAATGCTGCATGAAAACATGTCGCTGTCTGCAGCGATTGTTAGACAGCCCTGCCATGTGGATTTTGTGGCGCAGTGTTGTTGGTGTCTGACTTCGATGCGAATCGCGCTCTTTTGTTTATTTTCTTCTCTCAGTATTGTTTCAAGTATGGTTACTTGTGTTTTTAAACGATAAGCGTGTTTATCGCTAAGCTGCCACTTGGCGAACCGGGTCCGTCAGCGAGAACCTCGATTGAGCTGATCGTCCAGGTTTGGTTCTCCCTGGCCAAAGGCTCCTTCCATCGTTCCACTGTAGGATTCTACTTTTAAAATAGGCAGCATTAGTCGAAACAATATTGAAAGCAGAAAAAAAGAAAAAAGTTGAGTTGATCAGCGTGACTGGAACTGATCTTGCACACCAACAACGCATCATGGTGCACACTCACAATGTCTCCGCTACGCCTTGGAAAATCAGTGCGGTAGGGCTAACAACCGGTACAAACAGTGACGTGATTTTCTTGCAAAAAAGCGAAATTACGACTCTTTGAAAGCTGTAATGTATATTGAGACATTACTATAAAAATTGAAAAATAACAAACTGGGGTTGGAACCCACAACCTGCAGGCGCCCGCCTCCCCAACAGCACATCAACCCACTGCGCAGCCGCCAAAACAGCTAGACGGTGGCGTCTAAAACGACTAAATATTTACGTCAACGACAACATACCACCCTCATTTTCACTATAGTGCCTAGATTATAATTTAGACACTATACCTTTACCATTATATTACGGTGACGGGCTCCATCACCACAGTCATTGTTTTACGGTGACGGGGCACTACAGCTGAATCGATTTTATGACGGGCGCTGTCACTGTTACGATTTACTAAGGTGCCGTAATCACGATTACGTAACGCTGATGGGCTCCCTCACTTTAACGACAGTACTGCGCTGACGGGCCTCGTCATGGTAGTCGCGATCACACTACCCTGACGGGCCCCCTCACTGTTACGATAGTACTGCTTTTACGGGCCTCGTCATCATAGTCACTACCAAGAATAAAATAGACTTTATACTGAGTGCACATCCAGGCATCATGCAGAATGTGGAGGTGTTTGGCAAGGTATGACGCAGTGACCATAGAATGGCAAGGTCTTGAATTCGTCGAGGCTTGAAAAAGGAAGTGATACGCAAGAAGCCAATCAATGAGCTAGCACTGAGAGGGAAGGCACAGAAATTCAGAGCCTCGCTTCAGAACACATACTCGGCTCATAACGAGGAAAGTGGCCCTAGCGTTGACGCAATAAATGATAACCTGACGACTATCATTGAGGAGTGTGCAGTTGTAGTTGGAGGTACGTTAGTTAGACAAGAGACCAGCAAGCTGTTCCAGGAGACGAAGAACCTCATTAGGACACGTCAAAACATGAAAGGCTTAAAAACAACAGACAAAATAGAACTGGCAAAACTTTCAAAGTTTATTAAGTGGAAAGTATCCGGTGTAAGCAAGTATAACATGGAGAGAATTAAACGAGCTCTAAGGGATGGAGGAAGTCTCAAAACTGTGAAGAGGAAACTTGGGATAGGCAAAACCCAGATGTATACACTAAGGGACAAGGGAGGCAATCTAACTATCAATATAGATAGGGTATGTTAAAGTAGTGGAGGAGTTTTGCAGAGATCTGTACAGTAGTCAAGACAACCGCGACCACAATGTGAGAACAAGCACTACCCCAGATGACATCTCACCAGTAATGAGAGAAGTCAGGAAAGCCTTGAAGGGAATGCCAAGAGGCAAAGCTGCTGGTAAGGATCAGGTAACATCACTGAAAAACGGAGTATATGTTGTGTTAGAAAAACTGGCCACACAGTTTACGAAGTGTCTCTCCTGATGGGGAGGGTACAAGAATTTTGGAAGGCTGCTAACATCATCTTCATGCATAAGGAAGGGGACGAGAGGATAATCAAGAATTACAGGCCGATCAGTTTGCTTACCGTCGTATAAAAGCTGTATACAAAGGTAATTGCAAACAGAATTAAGACATTAGAATTCAGTCGACCAAAGGATCAAGCAAGATTTCGCACAGGCAGCTCAACAATCGACCACATTGATACTATGAATCAGGTGACAGAGAAATTATCAGATTACATTCAACCACTACACATAGCCTTCACAGATTTAGAAAAGGAATTAGATTCAGTAGAGATATCAGCAGTCAAGCAGACACTGTGAAATCAGGGTGTCGCCGAAGCACATATGGACACCCTGGAAGAAATCTACAGCAGTAATCAAGTTCATGATTTTTACATCCGAGAAGAACAGCAGAAGAGCAGGTCTTGAAATTAATCTTCGGAACGTGGAAGTTATGTACAACCTCGGTATGTTCCTCATTAACCTCGGAGGAGAACAGCGCGCCGATATGGTATCAGTACACCTGAAGTTGTAAAAAAAGTACGTTTGCTTAGGACTGGTAGTAACCACGGTGCCAAACCACGACATTGAAATAACTAGAATAATAATAATGGGGTAGAGCATATTTGTGAAGCATTCTCAAATCATTATGGGTAAATTGCCACCATTCCTCCAGAGGCAGAAATATAAGAGCTACATCTTGCCGGTACTTAGCTATGGAGCAGAAACATGGAGACTTCCATTGGTTCAGCTTAAATTGAGGACGACACAGCGAGAAATGGAAAGGAAACGAATAAGCGTAATTCTAAGGGGCAAGAAAAGTGGAGTTAGCATGAGGCGCCAATTACCAGCGTGTTTATTTTTATTTATTATTTAGATTTCACCTACATCGCCGCAAGGCACTACGTAGGGGAGGTACACATAATAATTGGACTACATAGCTTTAATCAAAACAATAGCTACCACAAATACAACAGTACTCAAGATCTTTTAAGAGAAGAAAAAAGAACACTTGAATATTTGTGAGCGAAAACAAGGTCGCAGTCATACATTTGTAAACACGCACACGCTTCGAGACAACAAACCATTCTTAGTGGCAGTGATATAGTAGGCGTTGTTACAAGGAAGAAAAAAAAAGGATTCATTATCGGTTTCATTGACGGGATCATCTGGTAGACGGTTCCAATCCTGTATTGTTTTCACGAAAAAAGAACTATCGAAAGAGTGGGTTTTGTAGTGGTATTCTAATATTTTTCGTGAATAATTTTGACGATTAGAAACGTACATTGGTGTGAACAGATAATCGAGAGGGTTAATAGCATTTCCACTATAATATATACAATGAAGAAATTTAGGCCTCAGTTTCTGCCTCCTTACAATCAGTGTCTCCAATTTCAATGCTCGTTTCATTTCTGTTAAATTTGCAAAGGAATTATAGTTGTTGCTAACAAATCTGGCTGCTTGGTTTTGAACTTTTTCTAGTGCGTCAATCAAGTATTGCTGATGAGGATGCCAGATTACGCAAGCATAATCTAGAATAGGTCTTACATGCATGAGATAAAGGGTTTGTTTCACGGTCTGTGAAGGTTGCCTAAAATTTCTGCGTATGAAGTATAGCATCCGGCCAGCCTTGGCCACAGTTATATCAATGTGTTTATTCCACTTGAAATTGTCGGAAAAATAGACGCCCAAATACTTATAACAGGATTCATTGCTAATTATTGAATTATTTATTTCGTGTGTTGTGTCTAGTTTACTAATCCGGTTGGCGAATGATACACAGCAACAATTACGGACGTTTAGACTCATTTTCCATTTTTGGCACCACGTT